ATAATTTAGCATGTGCGTATCAGAGATCCTCCAATTTAGTTTTTTGAAGCCACTCATTTTGGCGAAATTATTTACATTTGTAAATTTTAAAGTGCATGAAAGAGGGAATGAATATCATGTTTTATCTAAATTCCTTGATTTGAATATCGCATGAGCGGAAAAAAAAAATTATTTTCAGATGCTCGAGAATTTTTTAGTTGTTGCTATAATTCCTAATAAGTCGAAAAAAATTTTAATTTATCACAGAATTAAATTTGAAAGTAAAAATAATCTTGTCACTAAGTTTCAAATTAAGAGAAGATTCAAAATGATACGTAACAAGCATTATTTGTAATGCTTGTTATTTTGTCTTTTTTTAAATATTAAAAAAACTTTTATAAAAATCTGACAGCAATGATTAATGTTCCTTCAAACATAAAAGAGTTCTGTATAAAATTTTGATAAAGTTGTGGCCCGCCATTTGACTGGTGTTTTTAATTGCGGCCCCCGACCTCATGTAAGTTGGAAACCCCTGTGTTAGATCTTCGGTTAAAGCGAAAATAAGTCTGTTAAATTGGCCATGCCCAAACTTAAGCTACCACTTTTTATTTTTTTCTATCCTGATTCTCATTCCATTCGATTCCATTTATGACTCACCAGTCTCGTAAAGGTTAATACTGTAAAAGTTGACAGCTTTTTCATATTTATGCAATTTTTCAATGTGAAAAAAATCAAGTATGATAGAAAAATATACAGTAAATAGGTGATCTAATACACATGCGTTTAAAATATGCGCAAAATGAAAATTGAAAAGTAATAAAACGCAAAAGACATAGTCAGTTAGTTTTGTTAATTATTGGTGAAAAATAATACTCAACAAACCCATTCCATAAGGATCATTAGCTTTCTTGCTTCAAACATTTTCGAACGATAAAATGGAACCATACATCTACATTTTTTTTTCCTTTTTCTTTTCTCTTAATTCTTTTCTGCATGTCGGGAACCAATTAAAATTTTCTATCATTTCTGAACAGAGAGTCCCGATACTTGATGACTGCAAGGCGCATACGCTGAGAAAGAAATTCGCCAAAACAGATGCCAAATGTGAAATTATAATTTTTTTTGTGTGCATATAATTGAACATTCTTTTTCAGATGAATGCAAAAAGTTTACCTAGTTTTTTCAGTCACTTTTTTCGAACGATCCCACGACGGTAGCAGAAATATTTAAAAAAAAAAAAGACATAATTTTATGGCCTTGCATTAATTTATTTATACGCTTCTACAGTGAGACCGAGATTAAAAACCTAATGGTTTGCAGTCGTTTTTGGGGCGATGTGTGGCGTATATTAAAGGTTAAAAAATACATAACATTTACTTTTTTTTCATTTAGAATTTTGTTTCATATGTATAACAAAACATTCCCTCGATTATATGAAGAAAAAAAAATTTAACGCAACTAAAGTAACTGTTCGGGTTATTAATTTAGTAATGAGCATTTTTGTCAAAGATTTGTTATGTTCGTAAGGTTTTTCAAGAATTGCCGATTATGCACCGAATATTATTTTTAAAATTACTTTCGATGAAAAAATAAATAATTTGATATAACAAACCGAGAAACTCTTATATTTCAAAGAATAGTTAAATATATGGATTTCATTAATATTGTCATTCGATTATTCTGTTTTAACTCTGTACGTTGAATGCTTATGCCTATGTACATGTTACCGAAAAGCGGTGTTTCCCAAAGTGTGATACGCGTACCCCCAGGGGTACGGGAACAGTTTAGCGAGGGTACTCGTTCTTATGCGAACGAAATTTTCAAATTTTTTTATTTAAAAACAATTCTAGCCGTAAATATTTAAGATTGCGTATTTTTCTATTGGCTATTTTTTTACTTAACAGTTAATAATGAGTGGTGTCAACAGCCAGTTGTGATTTTTAATTTTTGGGCAATTTTTTTATAGTAAAAAATACATTCATTTTTTTATGATGGTACACAGCGCTACAAAAAATTTAAAAAGGGTACACAAAAGTCATAAGTTTGGGAAACACTGTCATAAAGGAGCGAAATTTGGAGAATGTCAACTTTCACCGGTGAATGTCAATAATTGCATAGTCGCTTTGGTAAGTATCTGAATTATTTGTTATGTTTGATATTAAATTACTTATTGATATTTTAAAATTTATTCGATATTTTAAAATACAATTAGTACAGATTAGGAAAAAAATTAGTGTTGAGAAAGCAGGGCCAATGTACACCTGGCAGTAGCACTTAATTTTAAAAAAAATCACAGTAGGAAATACCGGACAAGTGTATATCACACAATGGAACAAAAAAAGAAGAAAAAGAGCATCAGTGAAGCGATTTCTGGGTATATGTATATCGGGCAAAGATTATTAATCTTTAAAAAATATATATAAGAGTGAAATAGAGAATATTGGCCATTATCCTCACACCTGCCAGGTATTCCAAAAACCTAGGCTTTCTCAAACATATCCTGATCGGATATTAAAATATCGAATAAATATTTATTGTAAATATTCATCAATAAATTAATATCAAAACAGATAGAGCATATATTTCAGACGTTGAAAAAAAAAAACTATGCCATTGTTGACATTCACCGGTGAAAGTTGACGTTCTTCAGATTTCGATCTTTCTTGGTAACATACATATCACATGCAAAAAAATGAATTCAATTATATTTTAATGAAAACACATAATATTTAGTGCCATTACTTGATAATTATATTAAATGTTGATTACTATACTTAACGCATAGTTAATGTTTGTTAACTATACTTCGTGTGTATTTGATGTTTGTTTAACATATTTAAGGCATATTTAATGTGTGTTAACTATAATTAATGTATATCAAATGCTTGTAACTATATTTAATGTACATTAATTGTTAATTAACTATATTTAGTGTTTATTTAATGATTGTTAATGATATTTAATATTTATTTATTGCTTGTTAACTATAAAGTTGTTAAATCAAATAGAAAAATTTATTTAAAAATTATTTTTTTCCTTAGTTAAATATAATGTTTAAATTTAATTGCAACAAAAATTGTTAAATTAAAAAATTACATCTAATTTAAGACATTAAATTAGATTTCATGCTTTACTTAAAGCTTAATCAGAATTCTAAAACAGTCAAATTGTACTAGAGTTTTAAATTTTTCTTTCCAAATTGTTTTGATTTCAAAATTTATTTATTAAATTTCAAGGCAGATGAGTTTACTCTCTTGATGAGCAAGAGAAGGAAACCATTTTAGAATATTGTGCTTTTTCATCATATTAATTGGATGATGCTTTTTTAAATGTATAGTTTATTCAGATTAGTATATATTGGTATTGGACTTTTTTTTTACATAATTGAATTTTTGTTAACAAACTTTGGAACGAATATTTTGCTGCATTTAAACATGTACTTGATCTTAACTGATTCGGGTGTGCGGTTCTCAAACCTAAATTCGTTTTGTTCTACCCATATTTTTCAAAATGATATTTTAAGTCCAGTTTATTTTTTCCCCAAATGTACAAGTTAGTAAAGAAAGTATAAGATCATGTTTACATATGTATACACTTGTCTTCTTATTTGAAACTAAGATGTAAGACAAAGCACATTTGATCATAACGTATTGTATCATCAATTGAAATGTATTATTTTTATATCCTATTATGCCTTACGTTGTTGTTATCGTTAATTATGCAACCTGCCAATACTAGCAAACCTGCTTGAAGACAAGCGAATTTTTAAGACAAAGGGTGCTTTTCTTGGTTTTTCAGTGGCGATATCGATGGCCAAGAATCCGACTTAAGCCACACACAAGTCACAGCCCGTTTTATATGGTTGAACCAAGCATACTCCATTCATTCATTCGCCGATTATAATTTCGACCTGAACCAGAAAACAATCCATCTCCAATTCAATACCCCTCAAGGTATTGATTTGTTATGGGATTTTGTGACCCCGACAGATTTAACGTGTACCAGTCACCATTTAATACACGGATATTCTTCGGCCGTTGGGATGCGAACTCACGATGCTGTATTCACTTGCGTGAATTTAAAAAAAAATCCTGGTTAGAAGATGTTATTAGATTGCATAAAAGCTGTAGCTTGTAGAGAGAAACCACTAGCAAATTTGAAATCAACGGCGTTAAAATACCTAAGATCCGTTCAAAAATCTCATGCAGCAGAAAATTTATTAAAGTGGAAGAAAAAATCACGAGCACAGATTGAAACGTCATTTTAAAAAAATAGTTGTATATACTTACAAGAGATATAGTTATGTAGAAATCTTTTCCTGCATCGATCGAGGCATAGATGTCAAGTAATATTTCAAAATATGGAACATCAACAAAACTTATACTCTTTAGATAAGATAAATGAAAACAAATTTAAAAGCGATAAATCAGGTAAATGCTGGGGAAGTGCATACTCATACCATATTATCGGGAGAAACAATGGTATGAGTTAACTTATTGCTGCAACTTGAAGCTGAAACAAGGTGAAAACAGAACTAATATTGCCACATAGACAGACATACGATCATTTTGGCACTATAGTAAAATTTCTTTTTCATAGTTTAAACACAGAACGAAAGCGAAAAACGGAAAGGTGCATATGAAATTACAAACAAGTTACATCAACAGGACTTTGGCACTATTAAGAACATGCTTTGTTATAGAGCCGAAACGTTTACATGTCTAGTTATATAACATTGTTTGTACTCCTTTTATTAATTTTTATTTACTTATTTTTTATAAATTAAATTTACTTATTTTGTTTTTATTAATTTAATTTTAAAAAAAAATAAATATAAATAAATAAAAATTAATAATGAAGTACAAATAATGGTACATAGCTTGCTTTTGATTTATTTACTCATTTACTGAATTTTTTTTTGCACTCTTCGTATGTGTATAAGTAAATTTCTGTAACATCTTAATGATTTTTAAAACAATTGATGCCTAATATTTTTTTCTCCTTTTTCATTTCTATTACAGGCTGTTCTGGGTTTTTCAAACGAAGTATTCATAGAAATCGTGTCTATACTTGTAAAGCTCAAGGCGATTTAAAAGGAAAGTGCCCCATAGATAAAACACATAGAAACCAGTGCAGGGCCTGCAGACTTAGGAAGTGTTTTGAAGCTTGTATGAACAAAGACGGTAAATTTATTTCCTTTTAAATATTTTTATACATTATAAATAATGTATCGCACTTGAGCCGTGATGGCTCCAGGGATAGAGCGTTCACCTTCCAATGAGGTGAACCGGGTTCGAATCCCAGCGATGGCTGGTCGATACAAATTCCGCATCCGGCTTGCACCGACCACAGTGCTGATGTAAAATATTCTCAGTGGTTAGCGGATAGTTCTTTAGAGTCCCCTTGCCATCGGAGTAACCGTGGGAGGTTTTCGTGATTTTCCTTTCCTGTAACGCAACAGGGGATTAGTTCCATCGAAAAGTCCTCCACGAAGGCAAATTTCTCCCAATACTTGATCCTTTGACTTCTGAACTTTGTTCAAAAGGCTATGGAGTTGAATATTAGGATTAGTGAACCCAAATATTGGGTCGGCTTTTCAACGATGGTTATGAAATAAAATAAAATAAAATAAAATAAAATAAAATAAAATAAAGATATTAATTGATCCAAACCGGGGAATAACAACTAGTGAGATCAGTAAGACATTAAATTTTAAATTTTTCAAGTTCAACCACTTATGATCATTTGAAAAGCCCAATGTTTAATTTTGAAGTACAAAACGCTGAAGTTCTTACGGAGAGAAATTTGTGACGTCACGTTGACGTCTGCGATTCGCTTCTCAAGAATATTATCTGTTTTTAAGGAGCATCATCACTGAGGATCAAAAATGGTTTGTCGACAATAATGGGTCTCTACAAGAAAATTTTAGGTAATAGAGCATTTACTTCAAATAAAGAGGCCAAAAGTAATCTGGGTTAGCTTTTTGCCAATAAGAACAAAAGTTTAAGAGTTAAATTATGCGACAACCAGAAAGGATGCAAAAGGTATTGGGTATAAATGCGCAGTGTGCCAAAAAAACGAACCACCCTGAATAACTTTTGATCTGATGATCGGATCTTCGCGTTCAAGGATCCAATCTTAATGGCTCTCGTGGTTGACTTCAAATATGCTAATTAATTAGTGCAGACGATTTAGGTAATAGAGTTACGAAATCAGACTAAAAAACGTACCTTCTCTGAATAAACATACCTTTTCCTTCACGGATTCGAATTTTTGAATCCTAAATTATAGGGGTAACCGCAATCTGGGAAATATGGTCAGGTAGTTTGGCCGGGGGAGGGGTCTTAATGTAAACCCTACTTACAGTGTGTTTCGCTATACCTCTGGAATATTTGTTAGCGAATTGAAAAATTTTTGCACCCAATTACAATATTTGTTTAACCAAAGATAATTCTATGCCAAAAAATAGTTTTAAGTAAATATTTATTATTTTTTATTATTTTATGTAATAATGATAGAAAAGATTTTGAGTTGTAAGGTATATTATACAAATTTTTGCACCGCTTTAAAGAATCTAATTTTACAAGGCGAAATGCAAAAGTTGAGCAAAATCATTCGAATAGTTCTTCAGAAATCGAAATTTAAGTTCAATTTCTGAGAGTTTCTCTTTTTTGAAATTCAACTTCTCTATTCGACCAATTTTGCTCAAATTTTGTATTTTGCCATATAAAATTATATTCTTTAAAATGATTCAATAAATTGCATATCTTACGATTTGCCATTTTTTCGTCCATTATTAAATAAATAATAAAAAATAATAAATATTTACTAAAATTTTTTTTCTTGTATGACATTATCTTAGGATAAACGAATTCTATAATTGTATGCAAAAAATTTTCAACTCGCTTAAAAAGTTCTCGAGATATGGTGAAATACGCAAGAATTAAAATTAACATTAAGGGGTCCAAACTTTGGAACACTCTCCTGACCAAACTATTAGGACTATATTTTCCAGAGACGGGCCACCGCCTGTATTTTGAGGGTCTGAAATCCGAATGCGTCGAAAAGAAGGTATGTTTATTCTCAGAAAGTACGTTTTTGTGCCTGATTTCGCAACTTAAAATACCGTCTGCACTCATTAATTAGCATATTTGAGTTCACCTTTTCGAGCCATTGTGATTGAGTTCCAGAACGTGATCATTAGATCAAAAATTATTCTGGATGGTTCTTTTTTTTTTTTTTTTNTTTGGTGCACTATACGAAGTATAATTCATTAAAATATTTATTTACTTTAAAAACACCGCCTTTTATTTTCATTGAAAAAAATGAAATTGGTTTTTGAAAAACTTAATATATGATATTTGAAAATTTTGGTTTTTGAATGCTTATGATGTATTTTTTATTACCTCATTGGGTTTAGAATTTATAGAAAATAAAATTAATTTAAAAAATTAAAGGATATTTAAAACTTTATGCATAAAATATTTCCTGAAGTGCAATTTTGAAATTTAGGATGAATTTGTTGATTTTTTTATACACATTGCAAATATAAGCTCGAAAACTAATTTTTCTAAGTACTTTGAAAATAGTTTTCATAATTAGATGTGTTTAAGAAGACTGAAAAATAGCTCTAAGACACTTAAAGAATTAGTTTTATTAAAATCCAGATCTTCTATTAAATTTGAGTTATTTTTTTCTCTATATTAAACAGTTAATTTTTTATTCTGATAGACAAATGCATAATAAAAGAAAGTGATGGATTTTATAAATTAAATTAGTAAATGCGTTACCTATAAAAATATTTGTAAGACACTGTATTTTTAATTAATTTTTCAAGCTTATGATGATGGAATTGGCACATTTTTAATTTTTCTTAATTAAAATAAAAGAATAAATCGGTGATCCGAGAATATTAATATTGTTATAACCTTTTGACGGAAAAATTCGATAGAAAATTGTCATTTTATCTGAAGTCTGCTAACCACAAAAATAAATCTAGAAACCATTACTTCAGCAAAGGAAAACAGATAGCCAAACGAAAACGACTAAAGAACCTAAGAAAAAAAAAGCTTCCCTTCTTATCATTCTTTTCTCACCCCTCTCTCCCTCCCCTTAAGCAAACGATGACATTTTGTTTCAACCCTTCTCATTGAAAGTCGTCAGAAGAGTTAAGAAAACAAACCCGCAAGGAAAATTACCTAATTTTTTTATTACTTTTCTGCAATAAAAGGTCGTTTTATCTTAACTGAGAGCGAAAAAAAAAAGTTTAACGCTTGAGAAGGAAAGTGTCAAAGCAATTCGTACTACTCTAGCGATACGTTTTTGTATTCGGAATAATTGGTTTTTGTTCTATGTTGCCAATTTCGAAAACTCTTTTCAATGCAATTTGTGTTGGGTGAAAGAGTTATTTAAATTTGCTTTAGTTTTTCCATTATACATCTGCATAGCGAGTATGCTTTTTGCCTGTTTAATGAGATCAGACGATTTTTTTACTGTCTTCTTTGCACTTCGTATAGATCATTTCTTGAAAGCTAAAAGAAAATATTATCGCTTGCAAATGTTTTCATTTTTCTGCTAGGCGTTTAGCGTCTTAAAATAAATTGATTATTTTTGTCGGATAAAACACTTTAACGGTTATTTCCTTATTATTTTGATTGAAAAACATTAAAAAGCATTCAAAACCCATTTTAAAATTTAAAAGTAAAACTTTAAATTAAGTTTCCCCTTTTAATTTAAAGCTATTCTTTCAGTCGAAATCGTTTGTGTAAGAACTATTCTTCCTTTCAGAGTGAAATGGAGATTTCGAACATTTATTATTTTAATAGAATTTTACGAATTTTGCACTTCTCAAAATTGAACTTCTAAACATTTAACTCTTTCTCACTCTCAAATTAAAAAATCTGAGAAAGGCAGTCATTTCGAAATTGATGTTTTAAATGGAAATAGGATTTTGGTCGACCAGTAAGCAAATCGTTTTCATATTCACTATTGCATGATGCATTCGAAATAAACACGTTGATGTAGTTTTGCGACGAAATTTAAAATACTTTTTAAGTAATCTGATAATAGCAATAAAGGGTTTCTTCCTTTCTTTCTTAAAAGCTTTTTTATCTTCGAATGTTCGATGCAATTTATGTAACCTAACATTACTCTAGATATTTGGAAGCTTTTGAATTTACGGCAGCAATTTAGGCGTATCAGTGAGGTGCATATATTTATATATATCTATATCAGGGTCGGCACTAAGCATTCTCCACATCGCCAAATGCGATAAAATCGTAAATTTGAAGAATAAAATTGCATTTTGGCAAAATTTTTCAATGAAAAGAAAAATATATACTTAACTCGATCCTCAAAATTATGTCAAAATGAATTTTTCTAAACAAATCAGTATTTTTGATTTGATTACAATAATTTTCTATGGATGCGCTACATAAAAAATTAGAATTGGGCTCAAATTACATGAACCTGAAACAAACTACCGTAAAATAGTTTTTTATGGGAAGAAAATAAATGATAACAAATTAAGATCTGCATTTGGAGAAGAGTTTCGAAAATTGGCGAATACTTTTGACATTTGGCTAATTCACCTGTATATATATACAGACATATATATATATATATGGCACAATTATATCAAAAGGAAGAAAAGAAAAAAATAGAAAAATGAAGAAAATTATTAAGTTTTATTTATTGCGCGTAAGCGGCAAGTATATATAACTCATAAAATAAGGTAAAAATATAGAGAATGCGTGGAACATAATGAAGATTAATGAAAAGAGAAAAAGAAAAAAAGCCTTAAAACAAAAAAGAATGAAAAAATATAATTTATTCATCAGCTTACACGATTATATTCGCTTAAAAGGAGTGCTTTCCAATATTGTATCAATATAGTTAAAGCAAAATATATCAATACAATAGTGCGAGGAGCACCAAAAAAGGAATTGAAACAAAATAAAACACATTAAGTAAAAAGTAAATCACGCAAAAACAGAATATAAAATATATTTTTAATCACATTTTTGTAACAAAAATATTTCATTTTAATATTTTTTTTCCTTCTTCTCTTTTCATTAATCTTTATTATTTTCCAAGTTTATCACTTCCTATTTTTGCACAGTTTTTATTTATTTATCTTTTTTTTTTTTTTTTTTTTTTTTTTTTTTTTTTTTTTTTTTTTTTT